ATTTGGGAAAGTTCGGCGCCAAAGTACCCTAGATCACGAAATCCGCTGAAAACTTGTACCTAGGGGTAGTTTGACCTCCTAATCACGAATATCACATTCCCTCGGCTTGAAACCGCTCCGCGTCCGCGCTACGGGCGCCGGCGCCAAAATGCCCCAAATCACTGGCGCCTATGGCGCGGGCGCCAGGCAATTTCAGGCCAAGTGGATGTGATATTCGTGTTCAGGAGGTCGAATTACCCCTAGAACCCAACTTTCAGCCAAATCCACCCCCGTAGAAAAAAGTCGATCAAGATCCGGCCTGTTTTCGCAAAACTGGGGTAGTAATAGTTGAATAGTGCCCACTTTTCTTTACCATTTCCACATTTCAACAAATAAAACATAAGAACTTTCAAGATCGGTTTTGATTCAACAAACAGTCCATCAGTTGAGCCATTTTCCGTTGTGACGCAGCTTCCGGCATTTCTCGAAGTGATGATGCAATAAATGCACCTGAAACATTAGAAAACTTTCTTCAAAACTTCTGCGTTCAGCGAGTAGTAATAAAAGTTACCGTATCGGTCATATTTATCCATGGATGCCGCGGATAACCTTTGCCTCAGAGAGGCTGTGATCTCTCGTATCATATCCAAGCCTGAAAAATAACTTTTGAAGCTTAGGCGATTATGCAGCAGACCAAACGCCAATTTAGCAAGCATTTTGTGAAAGGTTCATATTTGTTCTCCGCTCGCTCTTGAGAGGACGAATTCAATTGGGCAGTAAAAGCAGACCTAGATAAATTAATAGATTTGCCGCAGCTACAGGTTACGTTTACAATTCGCAATCAAAAGATGTTTCACAATTCGCAATCAAAGCCGTGCGATCGCTACTGGACCGCTACTGACAGCGCTCCACATCTAATCGCAGGCCCGTGCAGCTATTCTTGCAGTCACGTTCAGGCTGTGTTCACTTTACCACTCTGCCTTTTGGAAGAGTAAACTGCAGTTCCAGCAAAGCAAGCATAAATATCGGTTTACATACATCAAACACGCCCACTTCTATACCGAAACGTTCGCGACCAGCCAGCGTTGTAATCCACGCTGTTATCCATAATTATTGCCATCACATTTGTTCAAAGTGGAGTATAGGGGATGCTACGAGAACATCACCATGTATTTAGAACAATAACAGCTATAGGGTGGATAAGAGGTGTACAATAGGTAGCGTCGCCAAATTCAGAGTGCCGCGTCCTATTCAAGTTGGGTTGGCGGTTGCATGAGAATGTAGTCGTTTAAGGAGATTACTGATGGTACGTTGACAGAAAATGACAAACAAAAAAATCTATTGGCGAGTAGAGTGTCTCTGCCTCACGTTCGTTGGCTTCATAGTGGAAGAACTTAACACAATAAACCATAAAGTTTAGTAACAGGGGCATCAATGGCGGGCGAAAGGCATTGATGTCACTTTATAAGAATAGATGAAAGTTTATCTCCGCCAAATTTTTTACGACTATGCTGCCATTTATTACGGACAGGATGCTCAGCGTGTGATCTTATCCCTTTATCTATTAAGTTATGAAGGAATCAAAACGTGTACGACCACTTAAACAGCCTGCTCTTATACCTAATGCTGGATGTAAGCGAAGAGAAATGAGGCCGGGGGTATATTGTGCGCCTAAAACGGGAAAATCTACAATCGAAGAAATCTCTGGAAGTCAAGTATATGCCCTGTTGTGTTTTATTAAACAATGACGGTCTGTCAGGAGAGGTAAGCCCCGTATCCTGGAGATGGATAGGGCATGACTGCGTACTTTGTTGAACATGGCATAGGAAGCGCTTCCGTGGGATATTTCCATTCGAAGCTACTGTCATCTTGCCTTCTGCTGAACGAAGATATAACAACAATCGCCCCAAAACGGCCATATGCCAGCAGAAGCATGGTTGCCTCCTCATTAGAAGAAGTGAGCAGCTACGTCCTGTCAATCTCAGGAATATTGGGTGCAGACGGCAATCAAACCTAAAGAATGAAAGTGGTCCAAGATAGAGAATGAAAATGGAAGATATCGCGTCGCCGATGAAAATTCGTAGTTTCCCGCGTGATGCAGGCGATAGAGCGTGCCAGCCAGACTTGTAAGCATAATAGAATGACCGAGGTGCTAGACATCGAAATACTGAAGAACTGAGTAAAGTTCTGAGGATCTTCTCAGAAACTCCTGAATTCTGGATGAAATCTGTGAGGTCTTGTTATAGATCAGCATATACACGATGGTCGCCAAGGCCCTTCCTTACAGCCTTGTTCGCTGCGGACGATGGGACGTGCCAGGACGGATGGGCTTAGCACAGCGCCGAACTCGTGTACAAACAGTTGAGGCGAGCAACCAACAAGACTGTATCATATCGCTGTATCAGTCGTATTCCACCAACTAATGCCGCTGGTCCGCTTCAATAACTGGTGAAGAATGAGCTGGTGCCGCG